AGAAAGGTACTAGGGGCAACTGTCCCAGGCACTGAATGGATGGGGGAAGAGGGAGAGTGAAAAAATGCAACTGCCGCCAGCCGCCACATCTTCCAGCTTGCAATTGCAAGCTGGAAGTCGCCACTTCTGCTTTGCCCCTGCATCCCTACTCTGCTGAGCTCCATATCCCAGTCTCTGAATCCCTAGAAATCTCTGAATCCTTCAGTCTCAGGTTTCAGTCCCACTTAAAAATTTACAGAAGGCTAGAACCTTACTTATGACTTGTATTAGTTCTCAGCAGTCCAAGACACCTGGCACATAGGATGGCCCCTTCCAAAAATAGCTTAAAATCTATTTGTAAGACAAGTAGCAATAGCAGAGGTGCCACTGTGCTGAAGTTTTAGAGGTGGGATCATTCTACTTGAACTCCGTAAGCCTTGCATGATTGTGAAATCAAGCTTGTGAACCTGTACCAAGCCTAATTTCTTCAACTGTAACACCAGATTTCTCAGCATCATGTATCTATTAGAATAATTTTATAACAGAACTTTGCTTGCCACGTTTAATTCCAATGTATATGCTATCCATCACATCTGCTTCCTACTGTTTAAGTTAATTCGATTCTTGCAGCAGTTAGAAAAAGACAGAAGCCTGAAAATCAGGCTAAACATCTGGAGAAACCATTTCAGAACAAAATTAGCAGCTTATTTTATTTAATCCAATATTTCCTTTCTAGATTTTGCTTTCACATGACAATAATAAAAAAAAAAATCAGAAGTACTTTAATAAAAACAAAATTGTTAGCAGTATACAATGCATTAGCAATGCAAAGGAAACACCATAGTAAATACCATAGAATACTTAGAACAGTATAGACTGATATGGGGAAAAATAATACACTGCAAGAAAATAATGATAAACTCCTATTTCTTGAATGTAGTTATATACTCCACTCAGATTAAACTTCCTATAAGAGCTAACAGATTTTACACACAAAAGACAAGAACCCAGATAAAACTTGCAGGAAAAAAAATAAGTTGATAAGGGACATAGGAAGGAACCAAGTCTTGCAACCTGAAGTATTCAAATTTACTGCTTAAGGCATTGCGATACAGATAAGATACTTAAAGGCGATGTTTGGGTTATTTTGGATATATCTTAAATAGGCTCCCCCTTTTAAAAGTAATTTATGTGATATCATGTGTTTCTGATGGTGTACTAAGGAATATTAGAGGATAATGACACTCACCGGTATGAGGTTTCTGGAAGCAGATCATCAATAACGTAAGTTGTAACGCTGCCCACGGGAATGCAAACGTCACCAAGGTCAATGTTGTAAGACGTGATCTCAGACCCATTATTGCATGGTTCTTCCCAGTTCAATACAAGGCACACAGAGGGTGATATTTGATAGGCATCCATGTGCTCATCCTCCAGTACAGAGAGGGTAGAGACTGCATCAGGTACTGATGCTGGGGTTCTGCAAGTTACTACATCACTATAGGGTCCAGCTCCTGCTTGATTTATAGCCTGTGGAACAGAAATTTTTTTTAAAGAGAAACTAATACTTGATTTCACATAAGAATCAAATAAAAGTTTAAAATAATGAAATTCCCAGTCAGTAAAAAATAGATACTTATCCTTCAACAGCTCATTACTTCATGATGTGTGTTCTCTCTCTGCACTCAGAAGACAATAAATATCTTTCTCTATTACCCTAAATGTCACGCACAAAGTTTGAAGTGTCTCTAAAGATTATTTATCTTGTCCTTGCATAAGCATTTCACTCAAACTTAACAGTAACCTTTATATTTGCAAGAACCTTTGTTTGGAAAGAAAGTGGCACATAATCATGCTGCCAATGATTGTTCTTAATGAACAAACTGGCTCTTCCCAGATTCCAAGCCCGTCTCCATCAAATCCTCAAGCCCATACTTACTTCTATACTGTTTTGATTCTAAATTCTTTACTCAGGCTGAACCACCCTTGACATCAGCTGAGATTACGCCTATTTAAGGATGACTAAGCTGAGTCTTAATTTAGGACAGGGGTTGGCAACATTTTTGGCCATTGCGTGAAAAAACACACACAACCTTGATGTGTAAGATGTTGTCATGCCAGGGGTGGATGGTGGGGGAGCTGCAAGGGGCTTGACCCTTCTTGAGGCAGCACAGCCCCAGCCTTTTCCCTACTGTCTGCCACAAGGCATACACGCCAGCAAAATGCCTTCATGTGCCACAGAGGCATGTGTGCCAGGGGTTGCCTACCCCTGACTTAGGAAGTTAATTTGCTAATTCCATATTTAAAAAAAAAAAATTTGTTAAAAGGAAACATTCACTCAGCATGGTGTATGCTTCCTCCCAAAAATCAGAAAAATCACACAAACCATCACAAAGAGGAGCAGGCCACTCATTACATCTAGCCTCTTGTCCAGAGTGTGGTCTCCAATACAACACCAGTACAAAAGTCTAAGGTTCAAAGTTTCCATACTTACTAGCTGCTTTAATTTCAAAACATCCATTTCTAATTGTGTACAAAATATTGAGGTACAAGTGAAAAAGACAGAGAAAACTGTGGCAACGAAGTAGTTAGGCTTCATTTGTATCACGGTTCCGATTTCATTCAGTGGAGGGCAGTTGTGTGCCATAGACTGTATGCAGAATTAAATGAAGGACCTTCCCTGTTAGCCAATGTTTTTGCAGAGGCACAATGCCTTTTAGGCACAGGGCTTTGAGCACCATATTTCTCTCATGGTGGGGGTAGCAAGAGCAAAGCCGGCACTCCACACCAAAAGCAGGATCTGCAAAGGCAGAACTGGCAGTCTGTTAAGGGGGAGCAGCGTAGCCCAGGGAAGGCAGGGCCTGCAGCACTTTGTTTTGCTGTATCAGAAAGATTTTGTTTGCTGTGCAAGGAATAAGCAATTTTTCCACGAGGTGTTTTGCTCAGTTAGTAAGCTGGGGGAGCAGACGATAAAGCTGGGTTTGTTGAGCCTTTAAAAGCACTTCAAAACAAATCCTGCTCCAGGGACAGCTTTTATCTAATGAAGCGCTCCTACAGCTGTTATAGTGAGCCTCATTTTGTGGTCTGTCAATGATATTATTTGTCCGCCTCTAAACCAGCATTTGGCGCTCTGTATCTTGCCCTGAGCAATTTGTTTTAGTGGTACTTATAACTCTTTCATTGGACAGCCCCATCATTGTAACTGATGGGCACTTCATTCTTGCTTGATTACCAGTTCCATGTCTCCTCTCTACCCAGAACAGTATTTCCTTTGGTTAAAAGGATGGAGCTTTTCAGGAATTTTCATTAGTGTTACTGACCTTTTTTCCCTTCTCTGTAAAAACAAGCTGGTTTCCCTCCAGTCACTTATGCCTGATTTTCTCTTTACTAACCAATTTGTATAAATTGATATAATGATACCAAGTGTTTGTTAAAGGAAAGAATAACAGAGAAAATTCTTTATGCTTACAGTGTTTTAAAAAAAAGGCTTTTCTGTTATTGTCCTTAATAGTCATGAAGGAAAGAACGGATTTATTTCTGGTTTCTCCACTTTGTTATTTTGTTTAATAAAAATACATTCCCTATGCAAATTGCTATTAATTAACATTTCCCCTTACCTGTAACCTCACACCTTGCTCTCTTCCCTATTACTACTGAAAATTCTGGCATATCGTTTTCAAGACAAATGCTCCTTTATACAAGAAGTAGTCCAACTCACATGCTGCAGCTCTAGATCTGTGATGCAGAGATTGCTGGTGGATGTTAAAAAAACAAAACAAAACAAAAAAACAAACAAACAAAAAAAAACTTATCTGTGTGGATACTCTGTATTTTTCTTAGTTTCTCTCTCTTGTCAATGGCTTAAACTACAATGGATGTGTTAAAATGTTTGTGGAGCTGTAAAAAGTTTCCGTAGTGGGTAATCTAAAATAAATGTCTGTTCCCAAGCTGAATGTACTATGCAGCTGCCTGTTTCCATTTTTAACACTAAAAACTTGAGTTCCCCCTTCGCCACAAAACTGGTACTACGGTCTCTTCCCAGGCCAGTGGACTCTAAGCACTTCCCTTGCTGGGCAAATGGAATGTGCTTTCTGGCTTGCAGTTCCTCTCACACATGCTCCTCCAGCGAGTTTGCCAAACCACTGACAATACAAGGGATAGGACCAGTGCTAATGGAGTCTGCAGAACACAACTGAGTATGCCTGAAGGCGGGGTGCAGGCATGATTTGAGGCTCTCTGGCTTTGATCCAACTGCTAATGAGCTACAAAAAAAGTCTTACAGGAATCCTGAATTTAAAAGCTCAAACAGAAACACTTGAGCATGAGGTCTCTGACCACAGAGAGGAAATCTTGGGTGGTCCAAGCTAAAAGATTGTGTGGGGGGGAGAAAGGGGAGGAATTTTCCACACCTTGCTAGCTGGATGGGCACATGAATTTTTGGCTGGATTTACTGCAAATGTTCTGCTTTTGCACATAAATAAGCTGTGTGGAGGAGCACCCAGAGCTATGCAGTTTAGGCACAAAGTTCGGCCTCACCCCTCCATTTCCTGTGCCCCCCCACCCAGGGATTTGACCAGGGGAACATCACATTTCAACTATCATATTTATATTTTAACTTGCTTTCCTTCTATTGAAAAGAATGGGTGAAGCATAAAGATGAAAGAACAGGTGATCATCGCAGAGCTACACAACAAGAGGTACACAACAAAGGGATGAGGCAAAGATGATGAGTACATCATCCTGGCAGCTGTAGCCTCCTACATACACAGGAATCTTTATCAGCTGCTCAGATGGTTTGCTTTACTTGATAAATGTTCAAGATTATTTAAGCCATGGGAATTCTTCAACATCCATTTGGGAGGTAAACAATGTTTACATACCATTTCCAAGTTTGGGGCCAGTGGGAAAGAGAGAGAATAAGGATTTTGAAAATAGTTTAAAAACATTATTATGCTATTTTAATACCAGAGGGCAGGGAGGCTTGTGGGCTGTTAATGGTGTTACTTGCTGAAATTAAAGCTTGTGACAAATGGGAGCAATTTTCAAGAGCTGAAAGTTCTATTAACTTCCTCCGTTCATCAATTTGAGTTGTTTAGGATCTAAGCTGTTTGATTATATCACCATGCTAGGCATGACATTACTTCTAACTTACAAAACACCTGCTTTCATAGCAGTTAATGATGGAAATAAACAAACAGTATTTACATCTTAGACTGTAATATATGCAAAAAATTAATAGACTTCTGTACCTGCAGTCTGCAGCAGTAATGTGCTGCTGCCGACAACTCACTTATTTCAAAACAGGTATCTGTGCCATTATACACAAGTTCTAGAGTCTTCTCGTCTTCTCCCCACTCTAATCTGTACTCAGAGATGTCAGCACCAGAGCTTTCAGGACTCTGAAAAACAAGCATGGGCATTTTATAGTTCAGTTTAAAGACGGGAGCTCTAGTTCATTATGCTTGACTGGTGAAGGAAAAATGCATAAAAATGAATTAATTTCTTAATGATAATCAGGACCACTGAAAATGTGCACACAATTAGCTCACCCATGTAGACTACAAAAACCAGACCTGTTAAGCAGAACTATGCCAAGATAAAATGAAAAATTACTGACAGAAATGCAGTTTCAAAAATTTACACAACACATACAATATGCCTCAATCCCATTGGGACATTCACTATAAAAACATAAAAATCCCTCGTCTCTCTGCTGACGTGCTAGCAACACTGCTTGGGTTTAGAACAGGACAGAGGAAAGCAGGGAAGATTACTTCCTCCAACTGACAGTAGTTATAATGTATTTTGGAATGGCCTGAAATTAGTACAGTAAAAGCCGTGTTATCCAGCACCTCACAAGCCAGCATGCTCTACTAACTGGCATACTGGCTTGTAAGGTAAAGTGAAGCCGGAAGCGCCCACCGTGGCACTTCTGATTTCTCCGAGCCCCCACGGCGCAGGGCAAAGCAGCCTGAGCTGCCGAGCCCCAGCAGCCCGGGGGCACAACAGGCTGTACTGGGTCTGCCTCCATGCCCCTCGGGAGGGGCGGTGATGCCCTGAATGCGGCAGGAGAAGTAGTGGCCCGAACAGGCAAGGACACCTGTTCAGGCCGCTCAGTTAACTGGCATATTTTGTTATCCAGCATCCCCCATTCTCAAAGGATGCCGGATAACAGAGCTTTACTGTAACTGGTCTTGAATTAGCTTCCATGTACTGATGATGTGTTTTGTTTGAACAAGCAAGAGAGAAGTGAAGTGTACAAAGAGCATTTGTCTTACCTCCCAGCTTACAAGTACACATGTATCAGAGAGAAAGGAAAGGAAAGGTGCTCTGCACTGCGCAGGTGGTCCTGCTGCTGTGGTGATTTCGGTTGCTTCAGAATATGGCCCATACTGAGGGAAAGAATAGATATATACATATGCACATATTACACATTATACAATGTTGAAGGGTTTTCATAAGATGCTCACAGAAACATTTTTAGAATAGAGAATTTTCTTAAATATAGACTGAATCTTCAACGTTAAGCACCTATGATTAATTTACTGGCATACTTCACTCCACCTCCCAAATTATACTAGCAACTTTGCTTAATAGGAACACATGCTCTCTCAAAATTGAGGGCAATATAATGGCCTTTTTAACTGGCAAATCAAACCTTGATATATGTACACAATTAATTTTTGATGATAAGTAACAACTGCATATCCTAGAAAAATAAACACAACTTTCAAATTGATCAAATACCTAATCCAATTTTTAATACATTTTTCCCTGGGATCTGAATTATTTAAAAGCTTCACATCATTAAGCTCATAATGAAGATTGCTTGCAAGCACTTTGACAGTCAACTAAGCAATGTGTTGTACTAGGTCATACTACAGAGACCATGGTTTCAAAGTGCTGGGAGTGATGAGCACACAACAACAGTTAAAACCCAACTCAACACTGATTAAAGTCAATAGAAACCCTTCTATTGACTACAGTGAGGCCTGCATCAGGTTTTCAGTGCTCTCACCAAGGCAGGCAGGTCTTCCAAGGAATTAAAAAGAACAACAAAAAGTGACACTAGTGAGTATTTCTACATGTGCTCCAGGGGTAGGGAGGGGTAGGGAGAAGGGGAGTGCAAGAGCAACTCTACTTAAAACATCCGCTGTGTCTTGTGTATCAGCATCACTGCACTTCAAAATAGCATCAGGGTCACTTTAACTAAATGAGCTTTAGCTAAAGCACCCCCACCACCATTTTGAAGTGTGGAGACCCTGATACAGAAGATGCAGAGGGTGGCAGGAGCGCGTTAATCATCACGCTTCAGCAGACTCAATTAATGAGCTGTAACTGCAGTGCATCGGAGCAGCCTCCCTGCGCGTGTACAGGCACCCTTAGAGACTAACTAGTTCAGAGTGGCATGAAATTTTGTAGGCAACTAGCTATCGTGTCAGATGCTATGAATGCTCACATGAAGTAGCTCATTTCCTCCAACAGTGCATGCCTCTGAACCACTCTTTCTAATGTGCCACAGCTCTGTCTATTGCTTGACTTGAGACTAACACAGTTAATCAACTCTATGACTGTAGCACACTCTGGCCTGACAAACACTGGCCAGCCAAATCACATTTAAAAACAGCTTAGCAGAAACTGTGTTTCAAACAAAGTGCTTCTCTCAAGTGTGCTTTAAACAGTAGTCTTAACTGGACCTTTTAAAAATCTCAACATTGTTTCTGTTCTTTGCGTCCATCCTACCCCTTTAGTAATACTGAGGAAGACATTAGGACAATAAAACTTCCAGAACCCTCTCTTCAGATGCTGCACAGGACATTACATCTTACCCCTCCATCATTCAAAGCCCTCACTCTGAACTGATACGTTGTTCCAGGAAGAAGGTTGCAGACTGTGCACTCTAGATCAGGACCGTGATACACTTCAGACGTGACGTCTGCGGGTTCCATCATTTCTACACTGTACTCTGAGACTTGACACACACTTTCTGACACTGGAACATCTAGACAAGAGATCATATCATACATTACTGTTGAGTGCCATAAATAAGCATCAGGGATTAACAGGCATTGATTTACCTCATTCTCCAGGTATGCATCGTCTTAACTGATTTTCTCTCTTAAAGTGTCTCTCACCCACAATATATCAATCATGTTGGGATTTACTCAGGGTGAGTAAAAGTACTTGTAGCTTTAGGTAATCACAAGATCAGAGACAAAAAGCTTGGAGTAACAATGGATCAGATGCTGCAGTGCTCTAACTGTGTGGGAGGGAAGAGATTCAATACCTGAAATAAGCCCATTCATAGCAACAAGCCATTCATGGCATAGCAAGAACTAGCCCCACAAAGTTATTAAACAATGGTGGCTAGTATTCCCTTTGGAGAGAATGGGTACATCTATTTAAAGAAACAATAAAATGGTGATAGCACTTTCATTCAATAAGGAAAAATCCCAATAATATGGTTGAAAGAAAACAGACATAGGCTGTCTTTTTAAATAGCTTTAAAATAGGAGAATGTTTGTCAAAGAGCTCTGTGGGACTTACTCCACTGCCAAAATGCATGGCTGTGTAGATCAAACCACAGAACAGACCCATAAATGATTATATGTAAGGACCTATTCAATTTGTGATTTCATGGAAATAACTAAAATCGGGCAATGTCCACAAAATCCACAACCTCCCCCAACTTCCTAAAAATAAAATGCTGGTTCTCCAGTGGGAACCAGGAGTCCTCATAACTGCTGCAGCCCAGCCATGCAGCGGGGGGCAAGTGGGAGGGGTCCCAGGGCCCAGGGGGAACAAGCAAGATGATGACTACCCTCCCCCCCCCGCCCTTCACCACTGATTGGCTGACAAATCTGCCTGTCAAGCAGCCCTGCCCCTTTCTGCCAATTGGTAGCAAGAGCGGGGCCACACAACTGACAGCCCCCTCAACCAATCAGCAGTGAGGGGCAGGGCTGCATGACAGACAGCCCTCTTGACCAATCGGCAGCATGCAGTGGGGCCACCAGAACTCTGCTGAGATAAGCCCATAAAAATGGCATCTGGCCCCGTGATCGGCCTATGAAATCAGCCACCTGCCCCCTGGATTTCAATAGGTCCCTAATTATATGTTAATCAAAATAATAATAAGCTCTTATGGCACGTTTAGATTTAAGAGGTTTACAAGCAGATGTACTATCAACATATCCCCTTTTCAGTTGGAGATAAAGGATCGCTCCTATGCTGAACATTCAGAAAAATCAGAGGGAAGCCAATACCACTTTTGGGTGGAGAAAGACTGCAAGGATATCCTAACAGCTGCTTCTTTCAACAACCCATTAATACCGAATTCTCCAGTGGAAATTCAGACCTTTGGAACGGACTGTTCTGGGTTAGTTTGTTCCTGAAAACCTTGCATTTTTGACACACAAGAAGCATGGGCAGAATGCAACCTTTTAAAGCCTAAAATTATACTTATTCATCCATTGTTAATAAGGACCAAAATCATTAAGGAATTTCTTCAATTTTATCATTTTAAGAGATACCCTGTTACGATTTCAATTCAAACAGTGATGACAGACTTTCAGGAAACTTATAAATAGGAGGAAAAAACACAAAATCAATAATAAAATTGTAGCAAGTAGGGGTAGAATGAGCCTTGGTGCATGGGTATAGGCACCCATTATTCCTTGTCTTAATCTCCGTGGACACGGAGATCAACTTATTACCTTCCACTTTACAACAGGTCATTCCATATTTAAAGACTTAACATGACTCTCTGCAGTCTTCTCTAAACTAAATACTGTATTTTCTTGCATACAACACAAATTCCCCATTTTCTCCACAGGTCATCACTGATCATCATCTGACCATTGCTGTTGCTCTCTAAAAAGTACTTTAGGAGGAACTGAACTTTTTGCAGGAAATAGAGGGGGCAGAGTCAGTGGCTTGTAAAAAGAAGTCACTGGAACCCCACCCCCCGCCATCCCCCAAAGGCATCAAGACGTCATCTGAGATGAGAGACCTGGACCTTAATTATATCTAAGAAAGGGTTGTATATTTATGCAGTCTATTTCTGTTTTATTTAAAAAAAAAAAAAATAAAAAAATAAAAAAAATCAAATTTTTATAAAACAGCAAAGATAAGAAGAGAACAAACAACTGAACCAGAAAAAGATTAAATGGTACTCTCAAATAACAATAATTGAAGTGTCTCTCTCTGGAAGGAACCAAGATGGATAAGGACAGAGGTCTAATAAAGAAGTGCATGTCAGGGAACGGAGAGGAATCTTCTGCTGAGATGCTACCACAGAGACAGAAAAAATTGGAGAACAAAAATAGCCATATTAGAGGGGCCAATCTGTCTGTGCAGAGCTGCCATGGATGCCTCAGTACAGGCTGGTGGGGTCTGAGAGGGAAGAGCTAAAGGGCAGAGTCTGTCTTTGTCTCCCCACCATGCTGGCTGGTGCATGGAGCATGTTGGCTGAACGAAAAATAAGCCTGATGCTGGATGTCCCTTTTGAACCAGGGGTATTTACCCTTTTGAATAACTTCACATACAGTAATTCTGGTAGAGTCACAACTGAGAGGCAAGGAAGATGGAACTAACTGCATCCCTCCCAACAGCCTTTACTATGAGTGATGCACAGTAAAACAAAGGCAACTCTAACATTCAGACTGCACTTCTTCAAAATCTACTGCCATGGGTTATCCAGGCTCTGCCAGAGTGGGGCTTGGCAGGGGCATGGGCACTGGTAATATGCAGCTCCTGCCTGATCCAGCTGCATGCCAGGGACTCAGGGATGGGTAGAGAGTACAGAGAGAAGGAGGCTGGGAGCCACAGGTTATCTGGGCCCAGCTGGGCCAGCGCCACTTTGCTCCCTGCTTTTCCCTGTACCCCTTCCCTGAGTCCCTGGCATGCAACTTGCTCAATTGGAAGCCGCTCCAGCTGCGCCTATGTGGCCAGAGGTGTTGCTTGGGGACACAACTCAGTAGTAGCTTGGCTGTGTGCTGAGGACTCAGGCCAGAGGGAGTAGGTGCAGGGAGGAGGAGGGAACAAAGGTTAGGTTTGCCTAACCCAAGGGTGGGCAATTATTTGGGCCGGAGGGCCACTTACTGAGTTTTGGTGACTCGGCCCACGACAGCTAACCAAAACTCCTTAAGTGCCCCTCCATCCCCAACAATTGCCCACTCCTGCCCTAAGAACACCTTTCCGTTTGTATTAGGTTGGCTACAGCAACTTCAAATTCTGGACTATATCATGTATCCCCAAAATTGTTTTGCTAACTTAAGATTGTGTCTGTACTCCTCATAGTTTGGGGCTCTTTACATTTACATAACTGAACCACAAACACAGGTTCCCAATCAGCTTTAACAACAGGTGGTAAATGTAATTCTTGTGGCACGTCTTAGATCACTCACCCCACTGTAGCTGAACTTCTTTGTGTTTGGGTTTCCCCAGCACTCGTGGTGGCCGACAGTGACCTGGTGCAACACTTAGCGTACGGACAGGTAAACTTTCAGAACACTGGAAAAGAACAGACAAGGCAAGTCTTAGGAATCCTGCTGGAAACACAAGACAAGCAGGGGAGAATGGGCTAAGTCTATTGCAGCAGCCAGTAAGTTAAATGCAAAGGGTCAGGATCATGTTGGTGTTATGTAAAGAAACTAATATAATAAATAGCACATTATTTCCAGAGTTCAGATGATACCTGTCAATCAGAAAAACACACAGATACAAACGGTGACCAGCCAAACAGATTAATCCATAATGTTTCTTGTCAGGGCTTAAAGAATCATGTCGTATACCAGGAAGTTGATAAGACAGATTACTTTTATATATATATATATATATATATATATATATATATATATAAAATAAACCTAAATAGGCAGGCTTCTGAGTACAAAGGAGAGCCAAAAACTATTATGCACGAAGAACAAAAATAAAATGGACTTGATATTCAATTTATCAAGTTAAATATTATGTCAGATGTCAAACTACATAAGCAGAAAGGGCCATACTTATATTATTCTCTGCATATTTAGGATGTTTTTCATCAGAAGAACATTAGTTTTATTTTGCTAATAAGTTCTGGGTAATAGATATGTCCAAAAAATCAGTATACTACAACTGAGCATCAGTGTATTAATTTTATCACATTCAAAATACTAATGTTCAGGTAAAAACATCAACTCTTTGAAGCAGAAGCAATTTAGCAGATCTAATATGAAAAGCTAAATGAGGCTAATATAGCAATTATCATCATTTTCACTACCCAACAAGTCTTACCTGACTGTGTCCACCAGTGCTGATACAGCATGCCCGAAGTCTATACAAAGTGCCTGGTTTCAAGTGAGTACAGGTATATTCTGTAGCAGACCCACTATAAGCCACTTCCCATTGACCTGCTGTTAAATGAAATGTTGCTCAAAGTAAATGTAGTTAGAAAACAACACACACTTGTATGGTATGGTGTTATTCTTTAAGGAAGTGACATGTGGTACAGAAAAATACCATAGAAACAAATTAATCCCTTGTTTGAAAATACATTGACCTGTTACCCTTTTTGGGCATTTAATATTATGACTTAAAGAAAAAATATAGTTTTCCACTGGATGGTAAATATAGCCCAGGAAGTTTATATTTCATCTATCCTAAAGAAAGGAAGTGGAAGGGTACTTTAACCCTCCCCCCGACAAACAAAAGTCAATATAATCTGCTCTGCAGCGGAGGAAATACCTTCCAGGACAGGTGGAATTTTAAGGCTGCACAACAGCATATATGCACGGCTCTTACACAAGCTACAGAAGTGCAAGAGATGAAACTCTCAGATGCAGCTCTTGTATCCTTAGTACCTGCCCCATAATCACTCATAAAAGGTGGCAAAATCTAGTTTTGCTAAACAATTACTGAAACAGCCCAAGTATTTCTGCTAACAAACTGTGGTATAGTCTTTCCTAAGCAATTCTACTTCAGTTTTTCCATGAAAAAAAGGAGTTTAGATCATGTATCTTAACACTTGAAGATTTAGGATAATGATACATAAGAAACACTACACAGTAGTAGTAAATCTTCCTAATAACATTCTTTCATATTAGTAGCATTGATTAAATAGAAACAATCTACAGATCTGCAAGTTTGAACTAGGACAAATATCACTTCTATTAGGAGTGGTTTGGAAATCCAAATTAAGAGCAGTTATTTTTGTTGTCACTAATTAAGTACAATAAATAAACAAACACAAAGATTTTGACTAAGCTTTCCCCCAGTTTGTGCTTTAATGCAACATCCACTACTACATTTTACATTGTGTAAAATTAATGAAGGGTACATACAGGAAAAACGTTTAGACTAAACGATTTAGCTAAAAATACCCATCTCTGATATTGGTGTGTGACCAAAGAATTATTACATCAATACTTTTTAAAAACATATAACAGCTGAGTAAGTCACTTCTCATGGTTGAAAATGTATAACTACAAAGGATTTACAATACACAGAGCAGTATCTAATTTACCTTCAGAATTTCCTTCAGAAATCTCTAAGAGATATTTTAGAATTTCTGAACCACCATTGTCCTGTGGAGGATCTGAAAAAACAAGCACACTTTTGTTGGAAAATCAGGTGACGAGAATAGAGGACTTCACCAGATCTCAAAGTGTACAGTGACTGAGTCTCATCCTGCCAAGCCACGCATGTATTTACGGAGGAAACAACCCTGTGGTCAGCTGCACGGACTCAACACTTATCCTGTGAGACGGTGGGTGTTTTCAAATCTCACAGAAGCCAGTGAGAATTAAAGATACCTGCCCAAATTTAGCAGATTCATTAGGGCACATGTTAATTAAAACAGAGCTGATAGCAAATATTTAGTCTGTAGAAGAATTGCTGCGTGGCTGAATCAACAGAAGTAAAGCAGAAATAAAACACCATTTGCCAAGATACTAAAGATGGTGAATTTAAGATCCACATTCTGTCTCTATTAATTGCTTTCCTGACAGCTTGGTGTTGATTTTTTTTTTTTAACCAAAGAACAGCTGTTTTTTTAACTTATATTTTACTCTTGCTCCATAAATGGATTTAGGAATGAATTCTAGAAATATATAGAATATTTTCACTCAGTATGAATCTAGGATTTCAAATATGATGTCTAGGATCCCTCGCCACTATCAACATCATAGCATATTATGTTCAGTTGCTCAAAAACATACTCTCGGCCATATATATAAGTCAGGTAAAGACATGATTCCTGTCTCAAAGAGCATATAACCTACCTGCAAAATGGCACATTCAGAGAGGACATCACATTACACGTTCTGGTGTGAGCACAGCACTGGGCAGAACAAGGTGACAGTAATAAGATGGTATGGATGTGCTCTAACTATTGCTTTACATGATTCATTTAATCTTTTGCCCTACCTGACTTCTCATAGCAGGACAGTACAAATGAATATTTAGAAACATCCACAGTTCTGGCTCCAGAGCCTCTGCTCTGTTTGAGACGGGACCGAGGCAATGGGGCGACAAGGGACATCTGTACTGAGCAGAGAGGGGCAGTGCTGTTTTCCATCCCACGTTCCTGACATTAGGCAGCTAGGTACTTTTGGCCTCTGAGGCCCTGTGAAGTTCTGGCCTGAAGATGCCTCCTTGTCAGAGCCCATCACCCTGCTGCAAAGTGGACCGAGTTTTTCTTCAAGTGCCCCTTCCTCTCCCTTTACTGCAGTGTCATTATTTACTGTGGTGAGATGAGCTCTCTCTGGCCTCTCAGACCAGAGACTGGCTTCTGCAGCAACTGGGATTACCAGGTTTCTAGTGACCCTCCCTACTGGCATACAGCTTCCTCCATTAAACCTAACATTGGTGGCAGCTATTAATACTGCAAATTCACTTTGATGGCATTTAGAATTCTGGAAGATCAGCCAAGCTCTGAGTTTTACTCTGAAATAAATGTGCTCATTCCAAAAGAAAAAAACCCATAAACCCTTGGAAGAGATCTGAATGAAATGGAGGAGGTGATGTTGTAACCAGGTACATCACTGTAAACCCAAGCAGAGCAGAGCGTGAAAGATGTCAGAAGGATATGTGTTGCAGGTATTGAGGCTGGAATCACTGATAGAGCAGACAGGATGGAGTAAAGGAAGGTTCAACATATTATGGGACTTGCAAATCTAAGGAAAAGTCAGTGCTATGCAACAGGCAGGTTGTGAACTAGCCAAAAAGGTACATATATATATATAGGGGTGGTGGAAAGAATATAGAGAACCCACAGGCGGTGAATTTTGTTGCAGCCTGTAAAAATATCTTAGATTACTAAAGGCTTGGGGCCTTTTACCACATGCTCAGGATCTCAGAATGATCAGATGCAAGGTTGTTAAACTCCAAAACCCTGAACTGAGCAGCAGCATAGCAAACACTGCAATATAATGTGTATTCACATAGGTTTTAAATACACTTCATTTACATTATGCCAAAGTAAAATAAACAAGCAACCTTACCCCATTTAACACTGAAGCCATGAGATGTTATTGGCCCTTTAATAACAGGTCTGGTAGGAGGTCCTGGCCGGTCTGGGCTTGTTGTACAGACCAAAATTTCACTTGGACAACTCTTCCCTTCCACATTAGAGGCAATCAGCTGAAATAACAACACAACACAACTACTTAATTATTTTGTATTCTCCTTTCTAGCAGTTTTAAATGAAATACTCTAACAGTTCATTTGACTGTTATTTATTAAGATAGAAGTGCGTGTATGTCAAGTCTCAGCAAGTTGTGTACGATGCCAACAACAGGCATTAGATCACAGCACTGGTTTCATTAGTAAGCACATTCTGAGTTTCTCTGTGGCCCACCAGTAATGTATTGTGCTAAAATATGATAAAGACAATTCTCAATGTGCTTGTAAAAGAAAGTGTCACATGTCAACCCGCTGCTGTTTACTCATAAAATATGTAAATAATGGTAACCAATTTATAAGCCCATTTTGGAGGATTTTCCAGCTGCTCTTCAAAAACAAAATACTTCAGAAAATTAATAGCAACACAAACTTCAGAAAGATTAGAGGCAGATCAAGTATATGCTTCTGCTTCAAAAATTGCCGATTTGAGACAAACTCTGTGGGCCAAAACTTAACATCTGTTCTGAGGAAAACCTCATCTTGACCCTAGTGGAAAGCATTAGACTAAGTTCAGGCTTCAGGATTTGGCCATGTGCTTTTACTATAGGGTTATATATGGTATTGGGACAGCAAACGAAATTCAGGGAATCCCTGTAACACATTAACATTTACAGGGTCATATTAATCCTTGTGATGCTCAGGGACCTTTTATTCCATCAGTCTTAACACACTGCTCTAACCACAGTGCCTAGAAACTGCATATTGAATTAATAATTCTGAGAGCTACTTATTTATACAAACAAGCAGGTGTCTTTTCTCCTGGAAGTATCAGCTATTCCAGGTAACCCATTTTCATCATCCTGTCCAACAACTGCCTTAGATTCCCTTGCAATTAGATAATCTGGGCTCCTACATAATACAAGATGTATTAATTCCTGTATGAACTACAGTTTCTCTGTTGGAAAAGCATCAATCTTGATTGAAAAATTGCCGGTGACAGATAATCTGTAAGAATCCTTGGTAAATTGCTTTTATGGTTAATTAACCCCAAAAACCTGTTTCTTATTTTTGATTTGAGCTTGTTTAGCTTCAAATTTACAGTCAGCAGAACTTGATATGTGACACTGAAAAGACCATTATCAAAGTTTTGGTCCCCACAGACAAACTTGCCATTCTAAAGACTTCCCTTTACCTTCTCTCTGATAACCTAAATAACTTCAGGCTCCTAGAGTTTTTCACAATCAGGAAAGTTTTCCAATCCTTTAATCATCCTCACTGCTCTCCTCTGAACCCACTCCAAATTATCATCATCCTTCATAAGTGTTAACACTAGCATGGGATGCAATATTCCAGCATGTGGTAATATCAACGATGCTAAAGACAGAAGTAACAGAAATTCTCTACCGCTGTATCAAGCCCTCTCTTTAAACAGTCAAGGACTGCACAAGCCCTTTTAGCTAGGGTGACCAAATGGGACAATGTGAAATCTGGGACACCCCCTCCTTCCTCTTGCCCCGCCACCTGGGACAATCATTTTAATTTTTACTGGCTGGTCGGGACTGGCCTCTGAAATCCGGGACGGTCCTGGCCAATCCGGCACGTATGGTCACGCTACTTTTAGCCAACATAGAACACCAGAAACACATCCAGTTAATCATCAACCATTCCACCAATATCTTTTCAGCTTCCCAGGATAATGTCTTTCATCTTCTCAGCATCATTCAGATGTACTGTTCATAAATTGAAGCCTTTACATATTAAAGCATGTATTCTTTGTGCGTATCCAGCTGTCAAAAGTTATCCAGGTTGCTCTGAAACAGAGGCTTGTCCTCTTTACCCCTTTATCACTCCCCCCATCTTCATGCCCTCTGGAAACATTATTAATAAGCTGAAAGAAAACAAAGCATCCTCACTGATGCGTGATCCAAGAACTGATCCCTGGGGACCCAACTAGAAACACTGCTACTTAGATTTCCCATTTAATGTGACACTTTGGAACCTGTCTGATAGCCAGTGTTTAACATGTGGCACTCTCATCTTTCCTTAATCAAAATATCTGAAGGAAACAAGTCAAATGTCTTTAAAGAAGCCTATTACAATGCTAATCACCATTACCAACCAAACTTGTAATCTCACCAAAAAAGACAGACAGCAAGTTGGTTTGGCAGCATCTATTTCTCATAAATGCATCTCAACTAGTAGTAAAGTTATTACTTTCCTTTAATTATTTACAAGCATCATGATGCTCAGGGTCAATGTCAGCCTGACAGACCAACAATTACCCAGATCATCCTCTTTACATACTATTCACTTTCTTTAATGTCTTCTGGAATTTCCCTTTGATCTCTAGAGCTAATTAATGCCATTCCCGACAGACTGTACGCACATGTAAATGTGCCCGTCCTTCTCACAGCTGACATCAACTCAATTCCGGACCTCAAATGCTGCCACCTGATTATGAAGAGGCGGCCAAGGTCAAGTTGTGTCGCACGCCTATCCATCACTCACTGTTGGATCGTGTCAACTGCTCTGTCAGTCCATCCTTGAAGAGTCCACATTCACAACAGAAAGTAACTTACTTTTCCAGGAGCTCGAGTTTGGCAACAGCCATCCCCTTTATTTATTTCGAGAGAAGCAGAATCTTAAACTGTGCTAAGTTTAAAAAGACACAATATCTTTCCCTATACTGTCTTACTCTAAAGTTCACGACATTTCACATATTCTTAGACAGCTCAAACAATCTTCTGTAAGATCTGAGTCCTTTAATGCGTGGAACTATTCTCTGTACAATAAAGTTTTGTTTGTTTTTTAACCTTGACACATCTACCGTGTATGTTCTTGAGCTGAAGAAATTTCACCCATGCTCAGGGCTTACAATATCCATATAAAAATAAGAGATACTTTCGGAAAACTAATTGTTAAATAATAATTACATTCTGAAAGTACAATGGTTACTAACTTTACAAGTAACAGCTTAATTCTAGTAATATATAGGATCTCTAATAAAAAATGAATGGAATGATGCCACCTTGTGGAAAAACACTAAATTTACAAGCAAAGATTTTTCAAGGGCCTGACAATCTATACAAATAGTTGGCCAACAGGAATTTAGCTCCTCTGTTGCTTAAACTTGCGATTCTGGGAATGTGATGTAAACTCCATCAGCTTGATCTCTCTAAAGCACTCCCCATCCTCATGTTCATGCTGACAACTAACAAGCGACTTTTCAATTGCAACAAATTTTGCAAATTTGTTAAGAAAAGCTGAAAAAGATTTCTTAAGGAGGATTACAGTCACAAGAAAAAAAAAACATTAGCTGTAGTTTTCTGCTGAAAAAACAGAAAATTCACTGAAGCTTCCAACTAGGATGGAAAGCTTTATGTTAAGGCAAGTGAATACACACCTCTGAGGGACCATCTATTTTCAAAGCTTGTCTCAGTGTCCTTATAAGCTTTTCAAAAAAAGTGATTTCCATAACAGCTGAAGACTGGCCACTTGGGGGAGCCATCAATAGGTGAATGAAATGCATCAAGGACCAACCACTGGAGTCCTAGAATCATGGAATACCCTGGCCTCAAACCATTATAAAAGGCCTCTAAGCATAATCTATCCCCTCCACAAGTCCTTAATTCAGCACCTCTTCCCCAATCAGAAGAGAAGCTTCACAGTGAAACCTCCAAGACAAGTCTATGGCTCAATGTACTCAACCTGTCTAACACAAGCTAAGCAACAAATCATCTTTGAGGTAACCATATTTTCAATATAGCACTTGCATGTGTCAAACAAAAGACATTTCACATCAATGGGTTTTCATTAAAAAAAAAGCATTTTCTTTTAGAAAATTTTAAAAACAAAAAGGCAGGATTTGTTTTTAAAGAACTTGATTTTTAAGGTACAATTATACAGAATCCTTAGAGTGCACATGATGAAAGTCCCTGAGGAAGAAAACTTACCCTAAATTTGTATTGTGTGCTTCTTCTGAGATTTTTCACAGTACAGGTTAGGTCTTCTCCAGTGTACTTTGTGTGAAACACACTATCCTAAAAACCAGAAAAAAAACACCTATACATTTCCAGGTATCATCATCAGTATGTGTATGTACCATTCCTATTATACAGTGAAGCTATATATACCCAACTTCAGTGTAGTTTTTAAAGGTTTTACTCGTTCACTTTTTTAAATCTCCTATTATCATAGTAATTGTTTTGTAGTTCAGACTAATTGATCTGAACAACATGCTATTTTACTATACCAAAGCAAAATATAATCTAGTGTTTGTAACATTCTCTTTCTCTCGCAGTGGTGCTCAACCTTTAGACCCCACAGGCCAGATGAGGGGCACACGGCTGGTCTATGAGATGGCTAGGACTCCTCATGCCAGGACAGGGCCTGCGGGCCCTATGTTGCCTCTACACACCAAGATTGGGACTCCAGGGGTCCCACACTGCCTTCTTCCAGTCCCATGTGCCAGAATTGGACCCAGCACTACCCTGTGTACTCAATCTAATATACAGGGCCTCGGACCCATTAGGAGCCCCAAGTGCTAGAAAACAGAGCCCCAGGAGCCAGATCTGGCCTGTAGGCCATGGGTTGAGCACCACTGTTCCAGATTATTTTTCCACGTACACATTTATAGTGTGCGTGTCTGTCCAGTACATATAATCTTGAGTACTTACCTTGGTAATATAAACCTACATTTAATACAGGTTACAATCTATCCCAGAAAACCAACTTTGTAAATAAAGTTAAGTAGAACATGGCAGACCAAATTCTTTAAAGACAAAATACTTCAAGTCCTTCAAATCTTTGTCTGGCAAAACTCTTAACAGGTTTCTGAATATTCATACATCACAGACTTGTGCCCAACTTTGCTATGAGCACAGGATTTTCCTTCTGGTGTGAAGCAAAACTGCAAATCACCCTCACTAACCTTCTGAACTTTGAACAGATGAGCATGAACAACTCAGCAAGTTGTACACTGTTGGGCATTCAGTGAGTTCTAAAATACCAGTACAGGTATTTCAAGAACTCTCGAGTCACAGCCTCAACAATGAGTTAAGCAAAAAATTATTTTGGCCCACTTTCTGCTTGATCAAAGCAATAGAGAACTTACATTATCTTCTTCTTGAATTTCTAGGGTGTAAGAAATAACTTCTTCTGGCGTACATCCTTCTACCTTATTCCACTGCAACGTGATCCATGTAACACCTGCTCGAACAAGTCTTGGTGCAGAAGGGGTCTGCGGAATATTACCTGCTGTGTAACACACTACTTCCTGGCTGTACCCACTGCACAGAAAGATAGAAGGGAAAGAAATGTGCAAAATAAATTTAAATTAATTGTTTGAACATATCCCGATCTATACAAGGCCTATAACAACGTACAAAACACATCTACGAAGCGTCTCGGTTGCAAAATAAGCAAACTTAGAAAACGTTCAAAGGAAGGATGCAATCTAAAATTCAGACCATTGGGGTGCATGCATGCGTAAATGTTTAAAAGGATTATATGGATTTTTTTTCCATGGAATCCATCTCATTCTGTACACCTAGGCCTGACATTGCTCAAAGAACAGGCAGCTATCCTACAATTTGCTTTACCCTATTTGTGCAGTGTGTAGCTCAGAGCATAATTTCCCTATTGCATATAATCCAAACACTCCAAACTGTGGGATTATAATTGCCTTATAGACATTATTTAATGCTGCTCACCTCCATAATATTAGAGCTCCTCAAAGAAAACATGAATTTACCTCTATCTGTGAGGAGTAGAAATATCATTATCCCTATTTTACAAATTAGAAATAAGACACAGATAAAATTATGCCTAAACTCAAAAATGTGCCCTGCTTAAAACATGCAATGAGTGATTTTGTAAAGGGTTTGTAATTCAAGCACAGTGATAATTTCTTTTTGTTATGCTTGTGAAAGCTCAACTGTTCACATATTTGGGTAACTCCAGATGGGCTTTTTGGACAAAGCCATGAATACAAACGGCCAGCTGTGAAATCATGGTTAACAGGTTCAGCATCACATAGGAATTCTGTGGCAGAGGTGGAGATGACATCAGTTTGGTCCTCCAGGACACTTAACTACCATACCCACGAGCACATAGAGAGCTGTATTAGTCCCAATTTAAGCAGAAGGCAGGCCAAGTTGGTATTTTAGGCCCCCTCTTCATGTCATGTTTATACCATGATTAACACATTAATCACAACATAAATATGCTGGGTGCTACATGTGCACCCAATTTAAGGCACCATAAAAGAGGAAATGAGCCATAAAAATGTTGCACATTAGGTAGAACATTTTTATGGTGGACTTTCATGATGCACTGAATTTAATATGAAGCTGTGGCCGACTGTCAGCTGATTACTGGTCTGGCCGAAGGCTGGAAGGATGGAGACAGAAACAGCTTCTCCCACTGAAGACTTTAAACTCTGTACACCTGGCAGTTCTGGTTAGGATGCCAGGCACAGAAGGAGATGAGAGGCTCCTGGCAGGGGAAGATTTCGATCCTCAATAGAAACTTCTGCCATTTGAGCAATGGGATAAATGGTAGAAGCAGTAGTCTGTTAGCCTGGATGTGAACCAACACTATAACACACACTTGGCCAAAAGGTTTCAGAGTTATCTGCTAGCAGAAGAAGAATGTTCATACTCAGGAATGCTGGGGTCTGTCCAGAATCTGGATAAGCCTTTCCATTCCCATCCTTGACATGTATTTTCCTCCCTAGCTCCAGCTGGGGGAGCATTTAGCTCAGAGGACAGACTGTCTCTCTGCTCTTAGGTTCAGCATCCAATGACAGCAAAACTCAGAAACAGTTGTAGAAAAAGTTGCAGTCATCCCCAGAATGGAGCATGCTCAGTAGGCTCTAAGGTGCAATGTGCTCAGTGGAGAGGGAGCGTCTGGAAAACTTTGCATTTTCAGGGACTTGTAATTCTCAAATGTTGGGAGATTTTCAGCAGAAGGCCTCTGAACCCCAAATAACCGCGTGTTAATATTCAAGATTCAGCCCCAAAACATGTAGGTGCTTAAGCTTCTCCACTAACCGACTTCAATCTGTATGTGCAAAATACAGCCTGAGGTAGAGACCCAGCACAGAAAATATCATCCTCAACAGTTAGTCTGGCAAAATTACAAGCAGCTGAAAAGAGGGTCTTATAATGGGAAGTGTTAGGTAACCTTAACTATGGGAAATGCTGCCAGCATTGCCTATAATTATATATAAATATAGACCCTATGTTCTTGGTGCCTGTCCCATGGATTAAGACACAAAATAACATAACAAGATTGACCATGAATAACAACACCCAAACCTCAGCCCATTCCCTCCCCTCAATAGCCTGAGAAAAGAAGGGTTTGGTAGCATGCCCAGAAGTTAAAAAAAAACACAACAACCCTGGGGTATGGCAAACTGTTGGAGGGGTGGGAGGTTATTCCAAAAGGCTTCCAAAACTGAAGACCCTTGACACACCCTTCTATAAGCAGCTCTGTCTCATTTACACTGACTAGCTCTGGTGCAACCACCTCTGCTAACTGCAGTGGGGGAATACTGCACAGGTTGAGAAGGAATCCCAGGACGTTTGGGAACCAAAACGACTGCATAATAAACTTTGTAGAATAGGCCCACGTTATCTCAGAGGAAGCAGTTAGAGACATTAAACAAGCTTTATTAAGCTGCAGATGTTGCTAGGAATTTTGCATCTTTGGGACTCTTACACCTTTGGGAGAATCTCCCATAAAACTGTATGTAAATCGCTCTTCGTACAGCTGTATTTTCTCTTTCATCCTGTTGTTTCTCTTTTAGCTAAGAAGAAGATAATGAATCCATGAAAGAAAGGGCAAATTATTTTAATATTTCACAGCAAATTTTTGCTGCCCTTCATTCAACCTAATGATCACCCAATTATCACTCAACCTAAAATCCCCATGAAGAAGTGGTCTTTGGCTCTCTAACTCAGGTATTGTATCACAGAATCTAACACAGTAAGCTGTTGCACATGAAAGCTTATGACCCTCTGAATTAATTAGGATACAAGGTGCCACCCTGCCTTCAGCTGATATCATCCCTCCAGTGCTATCTAACAGCTTGCAAATCAAGGGAAGCCTAGTAACCTTATTTTCCCACTATCTTCACCTTAAGCAATGGAAAGACAGGGAGCATTCTGAACCTGATTTGCACAGGTATGCATTTAAAACCAGGTGCAAGCGGTAGAAAAATCAGGACCTGCCTTGCTAAAACTTCCTTGAGGCCTAGTTACCCACTCTTGCCCTGGCTATTCCATTTCCTTTTCTCTACTAATGGCGGAGCTCATGAGTCTTGCCGAAGGAAGAAGTGAGCACAGATCATACTGTGGTGCTGAAAGACAGAGGGACATCACTTCAATGAAAGAGTATCAGGATTCCTTTCAAAATCTGCAACCCTTAACTTCCTTTTACTTGTTTTTCTTGGTTCATGGAAATCCCTAGTGGGAATTTTACATAACAGATGTGTTCTTTTTGTATTAAAAACAGGCCACAAAACAGCATTTAACACCTCCAAAGGGGCCCATCATCTTAGATAAGTCTCTTCACTCTGAAAACTCCATGTTAGTTCCCTGTGAGGTGAGTGATGTTGCCAGAAAAGTCCTCAGGGGATCTACTCTAACACACTATTTGTAGTGCAATAAAACTTTAGTCATTTAAATACCCAGCCCAAAGGAAAAGAAGAGCAGCTTCTCTATGCAGTCTGTTCTGTAGTTACATCTTTTGAATACCATCACCAAACTAGCAATTTTGTTGAAAAAAAATTGACTTACCTGGTGCCTATGTCATTCTGAGCTGCTAACCTGAAGGTGTACCCCATAGCTGGACAAAGCTTAGTCAACTTGCAATGCTTTTGACTCCCAAAGTAACATTCTCGGAAACTGTTGTTTCTTTTTCCCTACAAAAAAAAAAAAAAAAATCCACCGTTTCTTTTCTTATCATAGCTAATGAAACAAATGCATACACTTCTTAGTTGTTACTTTAATGCTTGACTTCTTAAATTTTTTAAAATTGCAGATCACTGACAGCAGGGGAAAATCAACACACATTCAATCAGCTGTCAGACTCCCTAAACAGTTGCAATTTTATTTTCATAATCTATTTCTTCCAGCTTTGTCTCTCCACTTCACTTTGCAGCTTCACTCCTACAGCTAGTCTTATAATATATCCCATTTATAAAACAAAATTTATATTAAGTATGAAGCCAGTTAAACAAGCAATTTCCCACCAGTCTGCCTCTTCAACTGAACAACTACACAGAGCCTCCACCTAAGGTTCCCTGTTGACCGTACCTTCTGATCTTACCTACAGCTGTCATCCCCTCTCTATCCCCTAAAACAGAGGTATCAAATATGCAGCCTGCGGAGCCTCCCAATCCAGCCTGTGGGGCTACCAGTGGGCCACCAGAAGCTGGGAGGCATGGCCTGCCATGGAGTTCTGGGCCCTTTGGTCCTGCTGGCCATGGCCATTAGTGAATGTGGCCCACGACCGCTGGACCTCCTTTCCGAGACCTGTGGCCACTCCCTTTGTCACTGCTGGACCTGCTGCAGCTACCACAGCTGGCCTGGAGCTTCACAGGCTGGATTCAGCCTGAGGCCCCAAGTGACTTAGACATCTCTGCCCTAAAAGAATAATTTTCTCCAAAAGTGGGCTCTTGCTCCTCATGTTCATGATGGCAGCCCTAGAAGCACACTAGTCATAGTCCAGAAGAAGCACCAAGGACACATACTGAGGCTGAGCAGCACATAACAGAAGTCTGCCCTAACAATGGAGGATACATCTACCATGAAGAACTCTGTGGTGGCACAAAGTTTTTAAATCTGGCTCTGAATCACCCATCTGCCTCTCTTCAGAATGAGACATATAATGTATTCAGATGAGTGGCGCAGAGCAAAAACAATGATACTCCAAGATACTGATGTTACAGCTGAAGGAACCACGATTTGAAGCACTTTTGAACCTGCTCCAAGTATTGGCAGGGGTCATTTCAGACTCTGAACAACCCAGGATTGCGATGCAGTAAAAGGATGTTTAAAGAACTCTCACCATTCATGTTTCCCCTCACTACATCGAGTGTTTCACTGCAAATGAGAACCAAATCCAGAAGCCTTCTTTCTTCCATCCATACCTCTCAATTCCAAATTAAAACCTACCCTTAAATATTCAAGTACATGAAAAAAACACAGCTCAACTTTGTACAGACTGTAATGCCTTGATATCCTGGACTTTCCCATCATAAGCAAAATTATTTGCACACCTGGTAACAATCTTCTTAGAAATCTTTTAGGCTCTCAGCACTTTAAGTGGACCTGAAAGAGACTGCTCAGCCCTACGTAATGAGATATGTCTGCACTAAAGTAGTTCTGAGAGAGCTTCTAAGCTCTCATAATCCACAAAACAGTATTCTTGATGAATTTTACCGTAATGTATTGAAGCAACAGTACTCAAAAGTACGGAAGAGCAGAATCCCCTACCTAGGGAGAGAACAGTTAAGCCACTGCTATAAACCTAGTCCACGAACCTAAATTATCCCAGTTTCTGCAAGTACTGCTATTCTATCACCTGATTCTAGGCCCTTTAATATATTTTTTTCTTGAGATAAAAATTCACTGTGCAGAGACAAAGTACAAGATCTTCACATGCAACACAACAACACGAGAGCTCCATGCTTCTAAAATCATACTGACTCTCGAGAAGGGAAACTGGTTTAAGAGATATTCCAACTGCAGCTAGCTTTCAAACCATGTGCACACATGCTGACTTCCTGTGCCCTCTCTTTCAGAGCCACATTTCTTATTCATGGCAGTCCACTCTCCAAGTTTGAGGTGTCATTACAGACCATTTAGTTCTAACACAAGGTATATCTATCTTCTGGCTGGCAACTCTGCAGGTGGGTGAATTTCCCTCTCTTTTCCTTCAAGTCTCCAAACACAAATTAAATCACGGGAGAGAAAAGACCCAGAATAGCAATTTCTCCCTTGGTATAAAGGCTAAGTAGGACTTAGTACAGGACGTTGCCATAATAAAGTCACAGTGATAGAAGGCAGACTGTCTGCTGGATCTAGCTGTAGGTCCATGCATCTTTCATCCATTTCTCTGGTTCCAGAGTCAATCTTCTAAAGTGCGTCCCATGCAGAGAGAAGCCAAAATTTCTGCCACATGGGTAGAGTCTCTATGCAAGGAATTTCCCTATGGAGTACTCATTCCCTACTACAATAATTAAATGCTACATTTAACTATAAAGACCCAAGGTCTTTGCAATTGTGGAGAAAACTAGGTTTTTCCTGGAAGCAATGAAAACCCATAAAATTGTTAGCACTGGAGTCATTCTTTCCAAAGAGTCTACAAATTTATACCAGCAGTTTCCTCAGTTGCTGAATAATACTGAATATTCTTCTACTACCCCAAGTCACAATGATCTGTACAGATTAGTCACTGAAAGAAATGGAACATCTTACACATGCTGACCTCACAGAGCACGTCAATTGTAACCAACTTATTCACAAAGCTATGTTTGCCCACTACATATTTGCATAATCACAGCAGCTTTCAAGAACCACCTTTCTGGATGGTGTTTCAGGATGAGGATTGCAGTCCCACTGTAGAGAGACGGCCTAATTTCTCAGGATTTTTTTGAAATTAAGAACACTGCAAGATTAGAATAAATCCACACAGAGTATTTACCAAGCTGAAAGAGTTAGCCAGATATCTTGCGCTGCCCTGCATCTTAAAGCCAGGAAAGGGGCTCTCAGCCCCTGACAAGCAGCCATAACTTAATTTTTATTTGTACAGTGCTGTTTTCCACTTGCTCTAGAACTCAATTTTGTGTAATCTATTTAGACTTTGCTCAACTGCTCTAGCTGTCATTCTGCAACAGCCAAGAGAAATCAAGGAAATAAATGTTTTAGGGTTCACAATCCCCCACCCCACCCACAGACTAACACTTAAGAAAAAAAAAGACACTTCTAAATGAAAAGTCATTTATTAGATATTAGATCCTTTGACAAGGACAGTTCTTGATAGAAAACATTATCTTGGAGAAGAAAGGGAGGTAAAAGCTCAGAGGCAACATGTCTCAGTATCCAGGTTTCACAAAACCCAATTCCCATATCCATTCTCTTAGCAAAGTGGTAGTTATCAATGCAGCATTACTAAGACAGGGGCTTTTTTCTTTTTAGGCAAACTCATCAGCTTTGAATTATGATTTTTTTTCTATAACCTTTTTAACTTCCCTCACTTCACTACTTTTGATGAAGTGCTTGCAGCAATAGTGCTTGTCTCCTTCCCTGAATGTGCTTCAATGACAAAAATAATCATTATGATATATGATTGATTACAATTATTATTATTATTATTCTATACTAATCAGTAACAATATTGACATATGGAGTGTTACACAAGCTTTGGTTCCATTTGATACTTAGTGCTGCTGTGTCTGCTTCTCTCCCAGGGACCTGAGGAAGGGTACACTGATACCTGAAAGATCCCCTGTCTATCCCAAGAATACAGCAGGTTCAATTAAAACAGGGGCGAGCAATTATTTCAGGCAGAGGGCTGCTTACTGAGTTTTGGCAAGCCATTGAGGGCTGCATGACAGGCAGCCAGGGGCAGATAAATATTGATTTTCTGCATTTTTTAGGGGCTCCGCAGGCCGGATAGAACGGCCTGGTGGGCCACATCCGGCCCGCAGGCCGCATTTTACCCACCCCTGAATTAAAAGATAATCACCCACAAGAATTCTTGCCTCTTGCATACTTCCTAGACCATCACAGCAACATCACCTCAATACCAGCATTAATAATCATATCTGATTATTGAGATTATTGATGAGAACAGCTAATTATCTACTAGAAAAACTAAGGCCTGAATACAACATTCTACCTCTTGTATTACCCACCACCAACCCCACATAACCCCCCTACCCCAAACAAACAAAAAACTAGTGGCTGCTGTGACCACAGACTGAGCTGATTAACATCTACAGTGAGGATGACAGCTGGCTGAAAGCAGAGTTGTGGGGCAGTGTCAGCAGCAGCCTCTCTTTCACAGTTTCTGAACTAAGACTAGAACAAGGGCATTCCATTGTTTCAGATCCAGGCTGTCCAACTGCATCTAGCCCACAAAGGGTTAAAATGCGCTCTCCAAGTGGCAGAGGAGAGCTGGACTGCTTGTGTTGCTCACACAGCTGGAGAGAAGCAAGCCTGTCTGCATGGCTGGGGAGAAGGGGGGAACCCACAGGGTGTGCACGGCCTGTGGGCCTGCAACCCTCTGCTGTCCAGAAGTTGGACAATCATGTTTTAAGGTGATGAAAATAACTGCATAACATTTAGTCAAGTAACTGCAAACATTTGGTCAAGCAGTATCCCAAGGACCCCAAGAATCAATGACAATTTTCAACTTTCTAATAAATACAAATCTGTTACTATAGAAATGTGTTAGTATTGTACATTACCCTGGCTTAGTTGGGGGGCTGGCTGGTATTTAAAACTACTGAGTCTGGCTGGTATTTCAGATTCGACTGGCACTAATTGGAGAGGCTGGCTGATATTTCTAATTATGCTGGCATTAATAAGTCTGGAAATAGTCTTTTTTCCCCAAGGTTTATGAAAGCTTTAATGTTGGCATATGAACAACTGGCATGCTAGTACTGGCTGCTACCCAGAAATCTCAGAATCTTCCCAGAATCCCCCTTGTCAGTCCCTTCCATATTCAGACCCCCAGGTTTTAATCTTATAAAGACTGGTAAATAAGTTACTGGTGACATACCCCATAATTGCCTTAAACATCTCCAACCCATATAGTTTCACACAGAGAAACTATAACTGGCTCTGATAACTGGCTGTGATGTCTTCCCGACACCCCCTGTTCTCTTGTCTTTCTCCAGTCTTTGCATACTCA